CACCCCTGCGCAATAGTGGCACTGCCTGGTGCTATCTGTTGTAAACCTTATCCCAAAGATTGTGGATAACCTGTCAGCAACCAAGATGGCTGAAAGAGTAACGAAACGGAACTAGTACCCAGTTTTTTTCTCTCTAGTATTTTATTTTTAATTACCTATTATTATATAAATATTTAATTTAATGTATGGCCATATTTTCATGTGTTATTTATTTTTTATTTATAATTTGATCTACAGGGTCCTCAACGTCAGTATAATAAAATTATATTTCATTTCATTTACAATTTATATAAACTGGCCAAAATCTAATATGCAAAATTACAAAAATCTTTTTTTTGTCCAAATTAAACTTCCTTTCTATTTATAAGATTTATGGCTTTTTATATGTATATATTTGCAACTTTTAACAATTTAATTTTTTAAGTAAAAATAAATGTTTTTACATGAATAACCATAAGGTTTGAGAATGTTTGTTACTGTTTTGTTTTTTCAATAAAAAGTTCTTTTTTAATTAAAAGAAAAAAAAAGAAGATGAAAAGAATCAATCGAAGAATCATCCATAAGAATTGATTTATTGCAATCACTGAATCGTGAATCGATTCAATTAAAAAATCGAATTTCCCATCCCTATTATGTATCCAAGGTTCCAGTTTATGAGGTGCTTAAAAACATTAAAGATGTTGAGAATATAATATTCTAAAATGGCGATAATATTTCAATTTTGAAGATATTGAAAAATATTTTGTGGATCTTAATAGTAAATAATATAAATACTGTAAATTGGAGCATTAAAAAGTAGATGATGTCCACAATTCCCAAGTTTTTGCCGTGCATTAGCCACATGGGTCACCTCAATGTTGAATTGCAACTAGGGTTGGTGAAACTATAGAAGTAGACCAACTTTTATCAACAGCCTTTTTAGATTAGATAATGCATTTGACCGTGAAAAACATGTGGGTGGATTTATACTGAATATCTTGAGTAGATATGTATACTTACCTTCACAGATTTATAAATGAATTTAGTCAATTTTAGAAACTTTTTTCAAGATTAGAAGATTGATGATAATAATTGTGTAAAAAACACACTGATAAAAAAATAACCTAAACACTGAAGTCATTTTTTCTCTGAATATATTTTATCCTTTGAAATTGGTTCAGAGAAATTCAAAAAAACTTAATGAGATAAACTGGCATATAATAAATAGAGGCCTCGCCTTCCTCTTCCGAAAACAAAAATCCCGAAAAACCTTTATTGTATCCTGCGAGTATACAATTCTGAAATAAGCAGAAAGCGGGGTAGCTCAGCAGATAAGGCACATACTTTTTAAGTTCAAGTTCCCGAGCTTGAATCTGGCTGATGGCAGTTAATTATTTTTTCAGTTACATTAGCCATGGATTGACCCTAGGGTCATCAGACCCTCCTATAACACACCCAGCCTCTATAAATTGGGCACTCTTAATTAAATAGTTAATAAAGGAAGAAAACCTGGGGGTTGAGTGTGATCCCAGCCCAATCACCTCTCTGCACAACTGTTGTCCTTGAAACAGTACTTCTTTAAAAAGTATTGAACCCACGGCCCTTAATAGGTTGTAATAGTCCAGGTTTTTTTTGCTGCAATAAGCAAGTGAAACTTGTTTTCAGAAGTGCAATAGCAACACTGAGGGTCAGAGCAAGGTGGGAACAGAGCTTAAACATATACAAGAGAAACGAGAAATTTAATAAGAAATTAGTCAGTTAGTATACAAGATATTAAAGCAAGAGCTTGTCATGGGCAGGGTAAATTTTAGTCATCAAGGAATATCTACACAACCCTGAATGCCAAGTTATTGTTAAGAGACCCAAATCCAAATGGATAGTAAGACTAAGACATAGTGATTAATGCTGATAAGTTAAAAACAAGAGATGAATGTAGATACGTATGGAGTGACTGAATAAGGAGTCACAGAAACAAAAGGTATGTAAAGCTAACAGAAAATAAATAAAGATATGTGTTAATAACGAAGAAGAGTGGGGTAGCTCAGTGATAGGGTGCTGAGCTTCCAATGCTCAAGTTCTCAGGTTTAATTTCCGGCTTATGGCAGATAAATTATTTAATCTGTTCATCCGCTGTGGATCATCCCAGGGGTCAGGGGAGGAGACGCTCCTGGAGCACACTCAGCCTCTATAAAGTGGGCAACCTTAATAAATGAATTAATTTTATGGATATTTTGCAGATTAGCCCCATTAGTTACTTTTTAATAGTAAACCTCCTGTAAATAATTCTTTCAATATGTTACCATAGTACCTAATTCTTTAGCATAGTACATTGTGGTAGTTTACTCCTCACACCAGAAATAAATGAATAATATGTAAGTTATTAAAAGTAATCCTATATACTCTAACCATGTATTGAATAGTTTTCTTATTTCAACACGAGCGTGCATAACGCCTCCACCTATCTTAAGGACCATTTCTTTCTACAAGCTTCATTTGGTTTCCTTTATCACAGAAGCGCTCCTTATAGATAATTCCAGCTTCCTAATATAACTTAAAAGCTTCCTTCACATCGTTATTCAAATTGGAGATAACCTATAGGAGTTCAATTTGCTAACTAAATGAATCTGTTAACAGATGTTTATATAATAGAAGAATAACAACATTGATTCTAATGTAACTGATGAGGCTAATATACAAAAGAGCCCATTTAATTTTGGCGGCTGAGCTTGATCTCGGTCAAATAACCTCCTTAAATAACCATTGACCACGAAACATTACTTTCCCTAAATAATACTGAACCCAAGACCCTTAATGGATTGTAGTGGTATAGGTTACTACTGATGTTATAGAGAGTTGAAAAATACCAGGGTTTGAAATTGATAATAATACTGATCAAAATTTTTATCTGAAATTTTTAAAAATCACTTCATGATTTTTACTAAGAGCAAATTTTTAATTTGAACATAAATGATAAAAATCATATCCTGATTATTATTTTTGAACAAAATTTTTACAATGAACAATAATAACAATTCTTGTGTAATACTTTTTTAAATTAGAAATATAATTTGCTTGTAATTCCTATCATATATTTTGAGTTTGGAAGAGTAGGTGCAGAACATTATTGTCAGCTGTTAGCAACAGAACATCTTTATTTCCAAAATTTAATAGAAATATGTAAGTATGTATGAGCTGTGCTGACTGGTAAGTGTCCGAGGGGTAGACCAAAGCGAAGGTGGGAAGATTGCGATCTGGTGGGTTTGGGCTTAGACGGCGTTCGGTGGATGGAAGAATGTGGACAACGATTGATGGTATCGGCATCGAACTATTGGGTTCACTAAACCTTATTATTATTATATGTATAAATATATATAGTGCAGGTACCGCATGCACAATTAAACCAATTTCAGAAATATAATATTAAAAAATGTGTTCATTAATAACGCATACATACATATTTATATTGGGTTGGCAAATAAGTCCTTTCGGTTTTTGAGGGTGAAATAAAACTCAATGTATTATAGAGATAAAATATATTTTAATCTACAATATATTGACCATTATTTAATATGACCTTTTCTCATCTTTCCACTAACTGCATAATGCCATGTTCATAGAATGTCTGCAGTTTATGGTTAAAAAACTGATCCAAGTGGTTTTTGATGTGCTCTTCCTTTTTGAATTTTTTTCCATTCATGGAGTTCTGCAGAAACCTGAATAAGTAAGTGGTAACACTTGGAGCTAGGTCTGGTGAATAGGGTGGGGAGGGGGGGAGGGGGAGGATAAAAGGTCCCATCCAAGGCTCAATAATTTATTGCGAGTGACCAATGAGATGTGGGGCTAGCATTGTCTAGGTGGAACACAACACCCTTCTGATTTGCCAGTTCTGGGCATTTATTTTTAATTGATTGATCCAATTTTGTTAATTTTGAGCAGTATAGAGTTGAATCAATTGTTTTCCTGATGGCAATAGATCATAGAAAATAACATCCTTGAAATCCCACCATATGGAAAGCATCGGTTTCAAGAGCCTCACTACTAGGTCCCCAAGATTTTCTACAGACTACATTATCGTAAAATATCCATTTTTCATCTCCTGTTACCAAAGTTTCAAAAATGGATCATTTTGTTGTCCTTTCCGTAGTGAATCACAAACAGAAATGTGTTGCCAAGTTGACTTCGGTTAGAGAGTGAGGAACCCAAACATTAAGCCTGGAAACATAGACGAGCTTGTGCAAATGGTTTTTTACAATTGTATACGGCACATTTAGGGATATAGTTGTTGACACATTACAAACAGAATAAACAATCCACCTTAGGGATTAATTCATCAGATAAGAAATGTATCATAGTGACATAATAATAAACAGAATAACCGAAAGGACTTATTTGTCAACCCAATATTTTATTTATTTTGTGTGTAAAAGGTGACTTTCATTTTCAGATCATTTTTTTTTTTTTATCACAATTTGATCATTATTATTTATGTAAAACAGTATCACTCAGGGAGTGATTATTAATTTTAATCGAATCAATAAACATTAGAGATCATTTTAAATTTTTATTTATAAATCAGGCATGATTTTTAAATTAAAAATCAAATATTTATTTATAAATCAGGCATGATTTTTAATCGCTATCGCTTTCAAACCCTGAAAAACATGAAAGGAGGCTCTGTCCGTATGACAGAAGATTATCCTGTATATTTTATGTTAAGAAAAATTAAAAATTATTAAGCACACAACAACACAATGTGAGTTATTAATTCAAGGAAAATTATTTCTTAAATATCTCAAACTATATTTACTTATATCTTACCACCTGAACAAAAATGGATATTTTCATGAATACAACCCATATGTAAATTAAAAAAGCCTATCACTTAAACTTGATAAGTAGCATTATAAATTTAAATAACATAAAAATATGTGTGTGTACTCCATAAATAATAAGATTTAGGAAACTCTAAGAAAACAGATATAACATTTACTTAAAATAAATATATACTCAAATCGACATACCTTTATTCCACTTCGTCCTGGTTGTTTTATCAAAACATTCTCAGGTTTCATGTCACAATGTATAATTTTATTCCTATAAAGTGCATCTAAACATTGCAGCAAAGAATGAGAAAATCGGCGTACTAGCTGTAGACTAAATCCTTGGAATTTATTTTTCTTGATGAGTTCATAAAGATTTATCGAAAGCAACTCAAAAGTAATACAAATATGATTTCTAAAAACAAAGTTATCAAACATATGAATAATATTCATTGTGTTCTCTTTGTCTTGTTTCCTTAGATGTTCCAAAATTCTTATTTCTTCCTGTGCTTGTCGATGGAACCTCTTTTCGTTTCTGACCATCTTAAGCGCACAGTACTCATGAGTTTTGTGATCATATGCTTGAACAACCTGTCCAAAACTGCCTTTACCAATAACTTTTAAAACTTCATATCTATAAGCAACATGGTCATGAACAACATGTATATAGGATCCTTGATCATTGTCATAGTTACCATTATTAGGCCCACCAATAACACCTTGTATCTTTTTCGCTCGATGTCCCATAAAGTATATTTCTGGGTATGATGTGATTTCGAGGTGTTCATAGTTAGTCAATAAATTACTAAAATGAGCTAGAGCATCTTTAGCAGTTATGGGTCCTCTTATAGTATGCTTATTAGTGCCATTTTTAACTGAAGGGAGGTTTAGGGTATTGAGATCAGAAAGGACAGAATTCGGTGTACTACTAGAAAAATTGTTTCCACTCTTGGAAGCAGAACCATTCACAATATGATGATTAAGCTGTGAAATCTCATCTAAGGTACTGGACTTTAATGGCACCAAATCACTAGAATTTTCAGGACTTTCCATAAAGCCCTCTTTTGGAGAATTGTTGACATTTGAAGAGCTGTTTAATAATGAACGAGTTCTGGGTAGTGACATAATGGATTAAAAACTTTTTGAAAATTCATTTGATGGTTTCTATTTTTTTCTTTTTAATTCCATAGAATCTTGAAGGGGAGGTTTCATTATGAGGAATTCCTTACAATTTATTCATGAAAGTAGAACACCTTTTCAATACCATTTTTGAAACCCATTCATAGATTAAAACTAAATACATTAAAAAGTTAAACGACACAAAACACAGCAAAGTAAAACACAATGATAAAACATATTTAAGAAAACTTGAAGTAGGACTAGATTACAACAGTGAAGGTTAAGGTAATATAAACACACGGTATAAGTGTGAGCGTATAGCTACTGAACGTTGAACTTCTCGAATATTGAAAATATATAATTTAATAGACATGAGTATCTCCTACATAATTATTATTTAGTAGCGAAAAAGTTTTCAATAAAAACTTAACTTCCAGAAGATATATTCCCTATTATGAAAGAAAGAATCGTGATTAATACGGAATCTTTCCTATTAGAAACATATTTTAAAGTTAGTAAAGGCTCACTAGCAATAAAAATAGTTTTTTAATTTAAATAAACCATTAATATAATTGTTGCGTTTTCTTTAAAAACCTAATAGATCAAATTTGCTGTTTCAGGAGATTACAGTTTATTCCCAAAATTAAAATAAATTTCAAAGCTCTACTCGATTTCCTTCTTCTTTCCTCAACTAGTGGGCACACCATAATATAATGTTCAAGTTCTCTCCACTTTTCTCTCTACACATCTAATTTTTCCGAACACTTTAGGACCACCATCTACAGCTTATCTGACGACACTATAATTCTTTATTATCACAAAAATCCATCTGTCAAATCAAATTCTCTTCAAAGCCATCTATCTAAATTCTAAAAAGGGTTTAACACATGGAAAATTAAAATAAATGATAAAAAACGGCAGGCACGTCAGTTTTTTACTGCAGAAATTTTCATGTCATGCAATAACTATAGACAATGGCTAATTTCCTTCAAAAAATTATGTACGGTATCTCAATTACACTCGGATAGAAATTCACCAGGAACATGCACACGAAATGAAAAATACAAGACAGACCAAATGTTACAAATAACTGTCACATATCTTGTAATACAGATCTCTAGTCAACTAAAAAAACGAGCAAATAATCCATAACACTATACTAAGACCAATTTGGACATACGAAACAGACCTTTGAGGTTCCGCAAAACATAAATAAAATACATACAGCAGAATCCAAAATTCTTCTAACACTACATGCAAAGGTCATCCACAATACACACCCTAGGGTTATCTCCCCTAGATAGCCGTCCCGGAAAGGGGTGCGGATCTGCAGGCACTAAATCGGCAGCCACACAAGCAGACTAGAGTACATAGAGAGAGTCGATAGCCCCGCTACCCGTAAACATATTATTAAGAAATCGCACACGATAGCCTCGTATTTGGACAGTCACATAAGGGACCAGCACGGCAAACGACATTGGATAAACATTGGATTTTGGAATGTATTATCACTATAAAATTCTGGAACACTGAAATTGCTCTTAGATCAGACTGCAGTTTTAAATTGGACATCGCTGCGATCCAAGAAGTCCGATGGACAGATCAAGGCATACCAGAGAAGAGAAATTTCATGGTATATTACAGCGGCAGTGAATAAAACCATAACTTTGAGGTTGAATTCGTTGTCAGAAAGCGCTATAGAAACTTGGTGACTGGCTTTAAAGCAATTAGTCCTCTTTGGTAAATTCTTTGGAAGAATCCTCGGTAAATTTAGAGATATTACCATGGTAAGTGTCCACGCACCCACAGAAGACACATAAAAAAGAAAAAGATGCCTTCTCTGTTCTGGGAGAGAGTGATTAATCTATTCCGGGAATAAAGGGCATTCTTCTTAGGAATAATGTCTACATATTTGTAAATAACCTTCAGTTTTGTCGGAGGTCTTGGTTATTTACATTACATCTTGAATTTTAATTTTTAAAAACAAAACCCTAGTGTCTGTTTTGTGAACTCTGAATACACTTTTGAGGATTTTTACTGCTGTTGGAAATTCGAAAAACTAATTCTTTAGTGACGCTGAGTGGTAAGAAATAATAAGAATATATATGAAATGTTGGACTGAGTAAATACACTTTGAATGAATGACTCATCTGGCTTGTTGTTCCTAAATTATGCGGTATATAGGACAACCAAATAAAAGGAAAACCCACTCCTGTATACCAAAGGTAATTTATTTTAACATCGTAATGAATCATCTATTAAAGTCTTATAACTGTAGGTTTGATATTCTTCTTAAGCTTCAATGAAGTGGACTTCTCTCATGCTTACTTTGTTCTTCTCTCTCTTAGCTTCCCTCTCGTGCTGCTGTCATCTACCGGAACTTTTCCAGGCTTCTTCCCTCTTTGTTCTATACCTTTTTTTGTCGATTGTTTATATATTTGATACTTTTCACTCAACAACTTGTCCACTGCACAAACGAGTCGAATTCATAGTGCAACACTATATTCCTATATGAATTCCCTCACTCCTTCTTCTCATTCCCTCACTCAATGTCACATAAAGGAGTAAATAGAGGCCATATAATACACATTTTAAGGCGAAACGGAGTTTTCACGGAAAAGTTTCAACTGGACCGTGTGGTAATCTCAAGAAACCATCAAAGAGAGATGGAGGAAGGTAAAACAAGAAAATAATTCAATGAACATCAAATCACTACCTCATGCCGGTAAAATTATATTTATACCTGAAAGGGAAAACAAGAGCAGCAAGTCCAGAACACTCAAGCTAGACTGCGAAAGTCTGAAAAAAGGATGGAAACATTACGGAAGAACATTGAAGAAAGACTCTCAAATCTGGAAAGAGATAACAGAGAAGCTAGTGAAATCAGGAAGTGAAGTAGCACCCATGGGACCGAAGAAAACCACGTGTGGTAGAACCAAGAATACAAAGAAGCTATTCGGGAGAGGTTGAAAAAATGGAAATTATGAAACTCGTGTAAAAATCTGAATGTATTCCAAGAAGACAAAAAGAAATGCAGTAACACTATACGGGGATTGAGAAGAATGCACCTAAAAGACAGATCGAGGAAATGGAGGAATATATCAGAAAACAGAATATAAAGGTTGTTTCAGGGTTAAGTGGCCTAACTGCAAAAATGAACTAAGGACCTCAAAACAAAAAAAAAAAATTATCTCTGAAGGTATGTCCGAAAACGCTTTGTTTAGGAAATATGCACACCTAAAGATTTTCGTTATTATGAATTATTTACGTAATATGAAATAAATAAAACCTATTTATTTGTTCTAACCACTTTATTAATTAAATGTAAACATTAGCATTCATATTAAATGTTGTGTAAAGTGATTTACTTGAGGAGTTAAGATAAGCTCGACATCTTTCTTCAACGGCAGCAGTGTCAGAACGGCACTCGAAATGTGTTATTGTTTAACAAGATTAAATTATCTTTCTTCGTAAGGAATTAAGGTCATTGACCAAACTTGCTCAATCATATCCCATATACCATATACAAATCAATGGATTGGCCGTGCAGGCCAATCTATTGATTGGTATATGGTTAACTTAATTATTTTCGGTAATACTGCATATTACCACTAGGCCACACTGTAGTGAATTTATTACAGCCTTACTAAGGTGAATATTGCTTGATATAGCGATATAACTAATATCCGTGGACGAGTCAGCTGAGTTGAAGTAGTGTGGAGAACAGCTTGTTTATCACCAGCCTAATCCTATCAGCTTTCGGCCAATAGGTGTGTACTTATTGTTGTTTTTTTGTTTTTCTATCGTCTCTTAGTCTTATAAATTAATTAAAATATTTATTGACATGGTTAACTTCGAAATATGTATTAACGAACAAGGAATATACATTCAAACAAGGCTAATATATCCTGTCTAAAATGTCACAATTGCTTTCACATGAAATGTACTAAAATTGATATTACAGTCTCAGAGCGCCTGAAAGAAACTATTGAAAAATGGGCAAGCCCCGATTGCGAATCGGCATCGCTAAGTTTACATGGCTTCCGAGTTGAGTAGTATTACAAGCCTAATGATGGTGCCAACGGAGGAGATTAGACAAATGAAGGCAAAACTTAAGGGGATAGACGAGTTGAAGGACATGAGTAACCTCTTTAGGATCAGCCTAAGCTCTATATTGAAAATATAGAGAGACTATTAAAAATTGAAAAACCCATGAATAAACAAAATAGTAAGATAGGAAAATTATCACTACGCATGCGCTAGATTTGATGAGCCATGTAGAGTTAATGCATGTTATCAGGCAGCACTGTAGTTATAATAAACAAAGGTCAGGTTGGCTTGGGTGAGGTTACCCAGACAGTAGTAGTCCTTTGTTCCTGATAGTGTGATGTTTATGTAATGGAATAAGAAGGTGTTTGGTGTTGTTGTGGTGTAAAAGTTTATCAACCCAGCCTCATTTGTTTCCTGAAGTGATTTCCTGACACCACATAGTGTCATCCCTTGTGTGGGAAATTAAGGATAATGATTGCTGAAGAGTTGAAAACTGCCAAATAGTTGACAAAGCCTCATTTGGTTCCTGAAGTAATTTCTTAATATTAAATAGTTTAATCTCTTGTGTGGGAAATTAAGGATAATGAGTGCTGAAGAATTGAAAACTGCCAAATTAAAAAGAGCTCAGTGGAGAAATTTATTTTCAACTTTAGCTAATTCAGTTGAAAAGAAAATAGCTGAAAATGATTCCGAGTTAAAAAAGACGAATTAGCCTACTCCCAATTCTTTCATAATTTTTTGAAAAGGTCCTGCTGAAAAGAATCCTACATATAATAGATTTTCGAAAAATCTCTACCCATTAATTTCGATTCGGATTTCGTTCCCAACATTCCACTGTCCAACAAGGACACCCAGTTGTTGACCACATATCATCAGCCCTAGAAAACAAGCAGTTTTTCTCGTGTGCATTTCTGGACATAACGCAAGCTTTTGACCGGGTATGGCACGCCGGACTGCTCTTCAAGCTCAAATCCCATCTACCACAATCCTTATATCTAATACTCCGATCCTACCTCTCCAAAAGCTCCTTTCGAGTTCGCTCAGAATTTTTTTTTCAGTAACAGAATTTTCTTACTGTTACTAAATTTGGAGCTCCTCAAGGCAGCGTCTTGGGTATACCGCTGACATTCCCATCCATCGCGATAACCTCCTAACCACTTTCGCTGATGACACTGCTATCCTATCTTCCAACTCAGATCCTGAAACAGC